AAGCCCACCAACCCAGGACTCTTCACCAGTGTGCACAAAGACGCAGCCCACCCGCTGCCGCACCGCAACAGTCTGAATATTCTAGGAGTCCCCGCCCAGGAGCAGGACAGCTCGCGACTAGGCAGCAGAACTGCAGGAAGCCAGGGTCGACCTCGCGCGATGGGCGAGAAAGGACAGGGATGGTCTCACGCTTCCGGGTAGACGAGAGCCGGGAGGGTCTGGGCCCCTACCCTAACCCTAGCTCTAACCTTAACCTTAACCCTAACCCATTACTCATCCCTAACCCTAACATTAGGTCTAGCCCTGAATGTACTGCAAGCCATCACCCAGGCCATTCCCAGCCCTAACCCTAATCATTACCATATCCTAAGCCTAACTCTAGCTCTAACCCTAAATTTAAAGCAACCATAACCTTACCCCTTGCCCTAACCTATCCCTAACCATTACTCTAACCCTAGCCCTAACCTTTAACCCTAACCTTACCCCAGGCCTCCCCCTCCACCCCGGCCTTTGAAGGTTTGGGGCTCTCAGTTTAGAAAGCATGGAGTTTGACGGGGCAGGAGCTGGAGAGGCCCGAGGAACCCAAGGCCTTACACATGCGGGGCACAAATTGTACCACTGAACGATCCTCCTCCTCTTCTACCTCCCGACTTTTTTTACTTCTCCCCCCCCCTTTTTTTTTTTTTTTTTTTTTTTTTTTTTTTTTTTTTTGAGACAACGTCTTGCCTTGTAGTTCAGGCTGGCCTTGAACTTCACTATGTAGGCCAGGCTGGCCTCAAACTCAGAGATCCTCATGCCTCAGTCTCCCGAGTCCTGGGATCACAAGTATGCGCCACTACTACCAGAACATTTTTTTTTTCTCTCAAAAATACCTAACGCAAAAATAAAGACACTTAGGAGGAGATTGGAAACTGAACAGCTAAGTGGAGACCTCCTCCCCTGTGCCCTCGGCTCCCGATCTGATCAGGTCAAAGCCGCGAGGGGCCAGGCGGCCACCAGAGGGCGCCACAGGCCGTCTACGAGCCAGAGCTAGTCACCCTCCCCCCGCTGGGTTTACAGAGGCCACCCCTGCTGGTCTTCCCACGGTTGCCCCCAGGCGCCTGAATCCCAGAATCTTCTTTTTACAAGGTCAGGGCTGCCCTAATAACTTCACTTTACTTTGTTTTGCAGCACTGGGCATTGGACCCAGAGCCTTTGCACTGATCTGCACCCCCAACCATTTTTATTTTGAGAGAGGGTCAGGGCAAATTGCTTAGGCTATTAAAACTGTGATCTTCCTGCCGCAACCTCCCACACTGTCAGGACAATAACTTCATCTTAAGTTAATTACTTCTTACAAAAGATGCCATCTCCAAGATCTGGGGACTTAGCTCAGTGGCACCATACCTGCCTTGCAAGTGCAAAGTCCTGAGTTTGATCTCTATTACAAAAAAAAAAAAAAGACGCCATCTCCAAACAGTGCCATTATCTGAGATTTGGAACGAATTTCGGGGACACTACTCGACCCATAGCTGATGGAGACCTGTGTCATGGAGCTCTGCCTTCATGAGGACAATGGCCTTAACAGTCAGGTGTTGGCAGGCACTGCTCTGCACAGGGGACCCCCAGGCTCAGGAGGAGAGAACAGGTCATTCTCCATGCCTGTCCTGGGCGTGTCCCTGGTAGGCTTGAGCTGAAAGGTCAGTGCCCCTCTGAACAAGCTGACAAGAAGATCAGGGGCCTTTGCAGTTCACTGCAGGCCAGGGACAGTGCTACACACATGTCATCCCAGCACTCCAGAGGCTGAGGCAGGAGGGTGGTGAAGTCAAGGCTGTCTGGGCTATATAGTGAAACCTTGTCTCATAACAAAAATAAAGCTCACTGGTTGATTTTGGAACTGTGACCCCTGAACTGGGAACATGGGGCACAGTTCCCACAGCCTCTTGTGCCATTCCTGGTTTGCCCCTCTTCTCCTAACCCTTCCAGGCCTGGGGAACTCCTGCTCAAACCCTAGGACCCATTTTAAAGTTCTGATGTTCTAGATCTTCCCAGACATAGGTACCTCAGTCATATACATGTGCTTCCCAGACCTATCACCCTGCAAGACTCCAAACTGTTGCAAGAAGGAGCCCTGCTGGGACGGCCATGTCCTGGCAATGAGGATGTGACGCACCAGTTTCTTAACCTCTCTGTGCACCAGTTTCCTTGCCTGTAAAGGGACAGCAGGGCCCTGCTTGGGAAGCCCCGGATGCATGTAGGCTGCTTTTATTATCCAGAGTGGGAGGGTGTCATTAGTTCCTGTGTGGCCCCGGCCCAGGAATTATTTGCTGAGTAAATGAATTATGGGCTACAGATGAGCTTCACATTCGTGAGTAGAAGCCGGTGGATGGGGACAGGAAGACAGAGCTGGAAAGAAATCATTGTCACCTAGGACACCAAGCGTCTCCATGCCCCCGCGCTGTCTAGCCACCGCCTTCGGCTCCTATTTTTGTTCTGCCCAGGTGCCACCGGAAGGATCAGAATTTGGGGCATTGTCTGCACCCTGAGCCCTGTGTCCAGACCTGGTGACCCCTGTGTCCTCTGCCACGTGCTTTAAATAGTGCCCTCCTCGTCCCAGTGCTGAGTGGACTCAGGTCCCAGAGTAGAGCTGTGCAGGCTGGCAATGCACCCTGAGTCCTGGCTGCACCCTCACCATCCCAGAGTGATGCCCCCCGTGCGTCCCATGGCCTGGGACACAGCCAGGATGTGGAGTAACTGTCCTCTGCCTTCCCATCCCCGGGTCAGCCTAGCTCTCACACCCCTGCCCACCATCCCTGCTGCAGCTTCCAGCTTTAGAGTCATCCTGTCCCCGCTCCAAGTCTGCCACATCCACACGCTGCAGCGGCCATCCCTGAGCACAGCTTGCTTTACACCTCAATTAACCCTGCTCTAGACCTGCCATCATAAGATGAGTGTGCTCACTTGCTCTAATGCAAGTTTAATAAATAACAGATGTTAAAACTCCAACCTAGGGGCCACTCAGAATCACCCTATGCAGGAGTGGGAGCCCCAGGCAGGGTGGAGGAGGAAGGGGAACGCGCAGGGCTGGGCACAGCAAGGGCTGAGGGTGTGCAGGTGGGAGGAGCCAGAGGTGGAGACAGGAGCCGTCTGGCTCACAGAGAGCAAAACGAGGGGAAGCAGGAGACTCCTAACCTCGGGGTTGGGCCCTGGGGGAGGTGATGGAGGAATTCTCAGGGCCTCCCAGCACCAAAGGATGGCCTGGTGTTAGCACAAGGACCTTAGCAGGACCTTGGCAGGAGCCAGCCTCCAAGCTGTAAAAACTGCAATGAATTCAGCTCCCTCCACACTATGTTTATAGATTTTCATTTTGAACAATCCTTCAAACTGTTACTCATTTTGAGTAACAATGTCCACATGGCATCAGCTCAAAAGGTGGGCAAAGTCTCTTAGTAAAGTGAGTCTTACTGGGCACCACGGCCCAAGCCTGTGATCCCATCTACTCAGGAGGCTGAGGCAGGAGGATCACAAGTTCAAGCCCACCCTGGGTGACTTAGAAAGACTCTCAAAATAAATTAAAAATCAATAGGGCTGGGATATAGCTCAGTGATGAGAGCCTCCAGGTTCCATCTCCAGCACCACTAAAAAAGGGGGGAAGTCTCCATAACAATCACTACTCCTCGAGACCTTCCAGAAACAGACTGTAAATATGCAAGTAAATGCAGAAACACACTCTGAGCCCCAGTGACTAAGAGAACAGCAATGATGACAGGTGGAGTGAGGGTGAGGCCCCTGGGCAGCCAGCTGGTGGCATCAAAACCAAGCATTTACTCCCCAGGAGGACCAGGCTGGGGCTGTGATCTCAGACTATCAGGTAGGGTCTGCGACTCAGCTGTCACTGAGAAGAAGTAGATGTAGGAAATGTCCATAAAGGACAGGGATGGACTGGGAGTAAGGTTGCCTGGGCCAGCAGATGAAGACACAGGATGCCTCGTGGACTAAAAAGTCAGATCGACAACCAATCTCTTTCTTCCTTTCTTTCTTTCTTTTATAGGCAGGGATTTGCTGTGTAGACTGCTCTTGAACTCACTATGTAGCCCAGGCTGGCATCAAACTCATGAAAATCCTCCTGCCTCAGCTTCCTAAGTGCTGGGATGACAGAAATGTACCACCATGCTCAGCTTCTCCCCACCCCGCATTTTTTTCATTTTGCAGTAAGACTTATATCCCATGCAATGTGTCCTATGGGTACTTACGTAGTTGTGCAACACCAAAAGCGTCCTGCCAAAGCTGAGCATGGTGCTGCACATCCATGGTCCCAGCACTCAGGAGGCTGAGACGGTAAGATTGCCATGAGGTTGTGGCCACCCTGGGCTACATAGTGAGTTCAAGTCCAGCCTGAACTACATTGCAAGACCCTGTCTTAAAAAAACAACCAAAACAAGCATTCTCAACAGTGAACCAGACATATGACAGTGGTCCTATAAGATTATAGTACAGCTGAAAAATGCCTGTCACCTACTGACACCATAGCTCTCATGATGCTGTTCACAACTCAGAC